GCGCCAGCCGTCCCCGCCGGTGTGGGCAGAACGCGGCCCTTTGTCTCTGGGGAGTCCGGACCGGGAAAGGAGGGGTCTCTGGCTCCCAGGGGCGTGGAGACCCGGCGCCCGGCATGACCGAGGCCTGGCCCGTTACCACCGTCTTCCCCACTCCGGCGTCTTCCGAAGGGTCGGGAAGGGCTGGGGCTGGTCTCTGGGAGGTCGTCTCCCCCCCACGAGGTGCAGGGATCCCTGAAGGTGTTTGTCTGTTGCTGGGAGCGCTGCTTCCCAGCTTCGTTTCGCGTGTGTGCATTTTCCAGCAACTGTCAGCCAATAAGTCATTTTCCCCACAGCAGACCTCGTGGGATACTTTTACTTTCTGTCATCTGGCCTGCCCGTGTTTTGACTGCACACAGAGATGAAAAGACTAGCACTCTGTGGCTTGCTGTGAAAAAACCCTCATGAAAATGGTGTCTCCACCTGTGGGCCCGCGACGGAAGCCCTGGAAATGCTAAGCAAATCGGTATGAAAGTGCTAAGACGGCAGGAAAGCCCCAGGCCTCCGCTTCCTGCCTGTGGAAAGCAGGGTTGGTTTGGGAAACCCAGGAACGTGGGGAGGAGTGCGTGTACAACACGGTGATCTCTTCCACTGGCATTCCTTTCAATGCCCCTCTGCAGGGACAGCAAGTTCATATTTGCATCATGGACTCATCCCGTGACTCAAATTACACATCCAACTGAAAAGCAGATATAGTCATTTAGATGTCTAATAGGCATTAACTTAAGCGAAATTCAAGCTTCTCAATTCTCACCCAAATCTGGCTTCTGGCAGCATTCCTATGTACCTCATCATTATCTAATCAGCCCTTCAAAATATAAACCCGATTCCACCATCTTCAGTGCTTTCGCCTTTGTCCAAGCCCACCTTAGGATGGCTTTTTCCTGTTCCTTTTTATTCCAGCATCCTCGTAGCTGGTCCCTCCGTTTCAACCTTTGCCTTCTGTGTAAGTCTTCTTAACAGCCGATCCTGAATTAAGACGTAAATGAGATCATGTACTTGTACTGCTCCAAACCTGCCTGTGGCTTCCCATCTCCGAGCAAAGTCATTATGGTGCATAGGATTTGCCTACTCGGGATGACTCTGACTTTGGCTTCTGCTGCGCCCCGTAGTCACTCCAAGTTCTTTCACTTGCTGTTTTGACCACGTGGGCACCCTTACTCCCTCACTTCCTTCGGCACTTTCCTAACTGTCACCTCATGAGACCCCTGGCCACCCTTCACATATCCCCTCTCCCCTTTCCCCATTTTACTCTTCTTCCTACTACTTGCTGCCCTCTGACATGTAACTTGGCGTGTTCTTCATGGGGACCGTGATGCTTGTCTGTTTTCTTCACCGTTCTGTCCTCAGCTCCTACAAGGACACCCAGCTCCGAGTAGGCTGTTCTTGTTTAGTGGGTGAGTAAGGGAGCTAGCTGCTGGGGTATATTAAGAGAAAGCATCTACCTTGATCTTTAGCAGGGCTGGTGATCAGGTCGTTCTCCGAGTCGTGGGATCCCCCTGTGCAGTGGAATGAAATGTTGCCCCATCCTATTCCATCCCCCTGACTGGTTCGGAGGTGAAGGGTTTTCAGGGGTTGATTCTGGCCTTTCTTAAATCTGGAAGCGACAAATGCCACAGCGATGCATAACCTCCAATGGTCAGCCCTACCCAATGAGCTGCACAGGCTGTGACTCAACTTCAGGTCTCACGGAGGGGAGAACTCATTACTGTAGTGTCAAAGGGTAGTGAGACCTTGGAAGAACAGAGTCTAGAAGCACAGGTATGATCAAACGTGAACTCTGGAAGCAATTAAGGAGGAAGTGACAAGGTGGGTTTTGAAGGCTGAGAACAAGTAGAGGTGAAACACTGCAAAAACATGGAATAAAAAGGAAGTATTGGAGGAAAGGGGAGAAGTCGACGGGCGCATAGGGTGGATAATGGGGAGCAAAGGCACACGGGTGGTAAAGTGGGCTGGGGCCGGATAAAGAAGGGCTTGGAGAGTTTCCAGCCGAGTGGAATGCTCACATTTAGCTTTATATTTTGGTGGCCACTTCCTGGTGGAGCAGTGGGTTAAGTGCTGGGCTGCAGGCCAAAAGGTCCAGGGTTTATTTAAAGTAAACCCATGTGCAGCCCTGGCGGGGAGAGATGAAGCCATCTGCTTCCATAAACATGCACAGCCCCGGGAAGCCAAGGGAATAGTTCTCTGCCCGGTAGGGTCGCTGTGAGTCAGGGTCAAATGGGTGGCAGTGGACAGTGAGCAACTTTAATATTGGTGTCTCTGCACCTAAGGCCAGAGGCCAAATAGGGAATGAGAGTCTTGGTTAAAAGAGGCTCTGGTTCCAGATTGAAAGCAGCAGTCCCAGTCCCACCTGGTATTGCTTGTGTGTTGTTTATTCTCTCTACCTCAGTTTCTTTATTGGCAAACTGATGATTAAGAATACCTTACTTCCCCGGGGGCTTAAGTGGAGAGGGAATGTTTTGAGAATGATGAGGGCAATGAATGTACAAATGCGCTTTACACAATTGATATATGTATGGATTGTGATAAGAGTTGTGTGAGCCCCTAATAAAATGATTCGAAAAAATAAAATCAGAAAAGATTGTAAAAAAAAATGATGGTGGCAATAAATGTACAATAAATGCACTTGACACAATGGATATATGCATGGATTATGTTAAGAGCTATATGAGCCCCCAATAAAATGATTTAGAAAAAAAGAATACCTTACTTCCCAGGATTATTCTTGTAATTAAGTGAGAATACTTGTAAAGTGCTTAGCATGATGTGACATCTGATAAGGCTTGATAAGGTAGTCAACACACTAATTGGTCAACAGAAAATGGGGAGTTAAGGGGGAGAACATTGTGGTCAATATTTCTAAAATTGAACAGATGGCAGTTCTGGGAACAAATCACCTGTTTTCTTCCAAAGTGTGGTCTCAGAGGCAGCATCAGCCTCACCTGGGAACATGTCAGGTAAAAGCTTAGGCACTACCTTAGACCTAAAAAAATCCGGGTGGAGCTCAGTAATCAAGTCCTCCAGGTGTCTCGGGAGTCCCTGGCCGAGACGGTTAATGTGCGACTCAGAGGCCCCTGGGAAGAGGAAAGGTCTCTTGCTCTAGTTTTGTAACCAGTATGGATCACAGTTCTACTCTGGGCATAAAAAAAACACTTAATAATAACAGACCATGACAGATCATTCTGAGACACCTCGAGTTTGAGAACTACTGTCCTGGAGTCCAGGCCAGAGATTAGCCAACCAGTTCTTAAGGTTAGATAGTATTGCAGGTTTTACAAGGCCGTAGGGGACTAACCTCTGTCTTTGTAGCACAGAGAAAGCACCCCTGGACAATACACAAATAAGGATGGCGATGTTCCATCAAACTTCATTTAGGACACTGAAATGTGAATTCCATACAATTCTCGTGTCAAATATTCTAATTTCTTGGTGGTAGCAATTGTACACTACTGCTTGATGTGATTGAACTATGGAATGATAAATGCATTAACTCCCAATGAATAATAAAATTTCATATATATTTTTTATTTCTTCAATTGTTTATAATGTAAAAATCATTCTTAGCTCTGTTGTTGGGTGCCACCCGCTGAGTCGGCACAACAAGCCTGCTCCAGCGCCATCCTCACAACTGTTCTTATGTTCTTATGCTCATTTTTCCAGCCACCATGTCCGTCCATCTTGTTGACAGCCTTCCTCTTTTTCGCTGCTCTTCCGCTTTACCTGGCATATTGTCCCTCTCCAGGGACTGGTCCCTCCTGACAACATGTCCAAGGTCTGTGAAAAGAAGTCCAGCTAAGGAGCATTCTGACTCTACTTCTTCCAGGACAGATGTTCTTCTGGCAGTCCGTGGTGCCTTCAGTGTTCTTCGCCACCGCCTCGATTCCAATGCGCTGATTCTCCTTTGGTCTTCCTTATTCAGTGCCCAACTTACACATGCATGTAAGGCAACTGAAAATGCCATGGCTTGGGTCGGACACACTTAGTCCTCAACACTTGTTAAAAGAGTTCTTGTGCAGCAGATTTACCCAATGTAGGCATAGTTTGATCTCTTGATAGCATCCAGGCTATCATATATACTTAGTAAACTTTAGGGTATACTAAAATGGGCCCTGGGCTGGATTTGGATCTCAGGCTGTAGTTTGCTGACTCCCAATCTGGACACCAAAGGAGCCCTGGGAGTACAATGAGCGTGTAGTGTAGTGAGTCCCAGGATGGACTCAAACCACAAGGTCAGCAGTTCACTGGCAATCACCAGCTGCTCTGAGGAGGAAAGAGGCTTTCTGCTCTCCTGAAGATTCACAGCGTTGGAAGCCGTTCTACTCTGTTCTGTAAGGTCTTTATGAGCTGAAATTGACCTGCTAGCAGTGAGTTTGGTTTGCTTGCAATCAAGACACCACCCCCTTGGCGCCCCAAGCCCCCCTTAAGTTTAGAACTTGGCAATTTGAACTCGCCAGCAGCTCTGTGGGGGAAAGATGTGCCACTCCACTTCTTTCAAGATGAACAGCCTTAGAAAATCCTATGGGCAATTCTACCATCCGTAGGGTCACTGAGTCAGAATCAACTTAATAGGCATGTTTTTGTTTGAGTCTAGAAACCAATAGTCCAAAAAAGCTGGTTCACAATGGAATGAAAAAAAGGTACGACGCACATGAAAATCACAGAGGGACTGAACTGTTATTCTGAGGTTACATGCCTCCTATTTTGTGTTTGTGTTAAAATGTACTTTCTTTTGTCAAGCAATTTGTGGTGGTAGTTGTTTTGGTCTGGGTGATAAAATTAAAAGTTAGCAATCTTACATTGCCCCCCCCTTTTTTCTTTTCCTTTTTCCCCCTGGAAATCCTACAGCTCTGAAATCTGAAGTCTAGGATTTCACTACTCCAGACTAAGTAAACATGTTTTACCCACCCACCCCCAAAGCCAGGGCTGGAATGTTTGGCTTGGAGGTCTGATTTTTGTTGATGGCTACTCCCAGGATGAGCTGGATAAAGTACCGGAGAACTGAACCCTGGGAGAGCCGCTCTCCTAGGAAATGAAGGGAATACTTGCCCACGGTCATGTCTCTTAACCTCTGGTCTAAGATCCCTGGCCTGGGGCTTATAAGGAAGCAAGAGCTTAAGGAGTCAAGGGCAAGAGAGAGAAGGCAGAACGGCTAGTTGGGAAGAAACCTAGGGAAACTGTGTTTCGGAGCCACAAATCCAGTCCCCAAACCACTCTGCCTACCACATCCGTAATTGGTTGACAATTCCGTTCGCCCTCTGGTTGCGTGTATCACTGGCGCTTATGAAAGCCGGAACGTCTCCCATTCCTTTGGAGCCCAGTGGAAAGGTGGGATGGGGTGGGATCCTTTGATCCGACCTCCTTTCTCCCCAGGGCATGAAAGAGATACAGCCAGTCCTTTCGGCGGTCTGAGTCCGGGTGGAAACAGACACCTCCGAAGGTTCCCTCCAGCTCGGAGGGTGTGAAGCCGCGTTTTCTGCCTCACAGCGGGGCAACACGAAGCAGTAGAGGCTAGCTTTGGCTCCAGCCCAGGGAGGGAGGACTCATCTGGGCGGTTTCCTGAGACGCTTGGAAAGGTAAATACAGACCGGGTTGCGTGACTGGCTCCGGCCCAGCGCCACATGGCACGGGAAGGAGGGCAGGGGTGGAGAGGCCACCTTTCCTTTGCAGGGAGCATGGGGGATGGGCGGTCAGCGGGGAGCCCCGGAGGCTTCCCGCGGCTGCACAGCGCCGCGCGTTGGCCGGCAGACCCCCCGCCCCGCCGTCCCAGGCCTCCCCGTTTGCCCTCTGCAGGGGCCTCTCCGGGTGGGGCGCGCCCGCCCCGCTGCCTCTTTTTCATTTTGTTAAAATAACATAACTCTAACTTGGGCACTTTTCTCTCGGCTTGCCCCGCCAAAACTTTCAGCGGGCTCCACCCACCCCAGGTGGACCTCCCTTCCTTGTCCCAGCAACCCCTGCGAGAACGGCCACCCACCCCTTCCAACACGTGACCGATTGTTGTGTTTCCTTCTCAGGGCCCCTCCCTCTTAGTTGGCACCGACTGACGACTGAACCAAAGTGCCCCCTTCAGGGTGAATGTGGAGCAGCAGTCTGCAGAGGAGCGGAAAATTGATTAAGGGCTGCACTACAATGCCTGACCAGAAGACCAGAAGAGCCGGGACGGGCTTAATTATGGGCTGGAGGACGGAACAGGGCTTGTCTCTGGCAGTGAGCAGTCCGCTGGCTTCTTGCCCCCTACTGCCCCCTCACTTGCCCAGCAACAACTGTTCAAACTGCCCTGACTTACTTCCTAAGTCTCGCCCTCTTTCAAACTGGGGGACCAGGGTATGGGCAGGGCAGCAAAAATTAGACCAGTGGAAACGCCGGCTATGCAGAGAGAACAGCCTGAAAAATAGGTTAAGTGATGCCAGACAGAGGAACTAGGTTTCTTGGGGGGAAACAAATCTGATGTAGACCTTATCCACTTCGACCTCACTGAGTAGGGACGTGGGGTGATGGAAGGTAACATGCTGCAGACTGTCTGGGGGAGTCATTCGAAGGGCAATATTCGGAGAAAGAGGGGTAGGTCCAAAGTAATGTGGATCAGCTGCCTCGGGTTTCTGAGACCAAATCTTTACAGGAGTAGAAAGTCTCATCTTTTCCCATAGATCATCTGGTGGGTTCAAACTGATGACCACATAGTCACCCAACACAACCCACTACACCATCAGGATTTCTACTGGAGGTCAGAGGTAATTTTAAAAGAAAGAGCCATGCATTGTCTACATGTAATTAAAATTGTCCCCCAAATCATCAAAAGTTGTATTTTTAGGTATATTTACAATGTCACACACACACACACACACACACAGAAGGAGCAGCTGCTGAGGTTGCTTGCACAGTACTAAAAACCGTATGTGATTTAGTTGGTTGGTTTGGAGGTTCAGGGTCATGGTTTCTTGGGACATCCCACTTAATGGCCTAATGTGTCCACTGCTTCTGTTTTACCTCCCATTTTGCTTGCTCGTGCCTGGTGTCTTAAAAGCTTGGAAGCGGCAGCCATCCAAGGTACACCACTTGGTCTTTAGTCACCTGGAGCAGCAAAGGAGAAGGAAAAGGAAGACGTGACTAATTGTATCAGCGGTCCTCAACCTTCCCAATACCGCCACCCTTTCATACAGTTCCTCATGTGGTGGTGACCCCCGAGCATAACATCATTTTCATTGTTACTTCATCACTGTCATGTTGCTACTGTTAAGGATCGGGCGACCCCTGTGAAAAGGTCGTTCGATCCCCAAAGGTTGAGAAACGCTGGTCTATGTGAACAACGGCCCCCTTTGCCAGGAGAGCGGGGGCTGCACAGCTGCCCTTCCTGAACCTTTAGATCCAAGATTCTAGAGGAGATTCCTAATCAAAAGGGGTAAAATGTACCAGAATTTCACATTCTCATGGAATCCAGACTTTCTGGAGTGACAGAGGCTGGATGAACTGCCAAAGCGATTGAGAGCATCTGTAAACCTTAAACCGAAAATATCCTCTGAGGGCTTCTTCAAACTAAGCAGTAGGATAGTTGAACTTGTAAAGGGTGTGTGTCTTGAACATGGGGATTTATCTAAGATCAAATTGATAACAGCAACACAAAGCATTAGAAAGGAAATCTAGAGGGCCGTGAGTGGGGTTTATGTTAATGGAGGAGAAACAATTTTGAAAGGAAGTGTGAGAACAGTTAACACAACTCAAAGAATATAGACACCATTAGTGAAATGCTCAGGTAGAAATTATTGGTGCGTAGTCCGTGTATATTCTCAGCAGCCACAACAAGAACAACACATTAAGAAAACAGGAGCCATCCATAATTATCAAAGAGCCATTTGCCCCTGCAAGGTCATAGCGGTCGTGAATCGTAAATGGCCCAAGAACTGCAAGCCTTGAAGTCCAAGAAGGAGGAGTTCATTCTAGTACAACCCGGGGGAAGTTGGGAGGACCGTTTGGGAAGGAGTGGGAGGAGTCTTAGGCCACTTTCAAGGGAAAACAGCCCCAAAGCGGTCAAGCTAGACCGCTGAGGGCTCTGACAGGGACACTTGCTCTCCTATAACTCAGCATCTGTCAGCGCTCCCATTACCAGGTGCTATTTCCAGAGTCCTGGACCCAGGGTGAGGAAGGAGGGGCCGAGGGGGTCCGCCCCTGGCCCAGCTGCAGTTCCAATTTTTGACCACATGGGGACGCCCGAGTTCAACCACAGCCCGGGAGAAAAGCGAGGGTGCCTCCCGAGGAGGACCTTGTGGGACGCCAGGAGTGACCCTGAGCCCGGGGTGGGGGTGGGGTGACTCAGGAGTCCTCTGCTCTGAAGCTGGAGATCCTTTGTATGGCTGTTAAGAAGCCTCAACCTTCAACCTTCCTCAAAGAGAATGATGCCACTGAGAACCAGCTCCCCACCTCCAACCCTCACCCCCCAGCCTGGGATCATTTCCTTCTCTGTGCGTTTGCTTCCCACCCCCCATCCCAGTGGTGAAAACACCGCCACCATCCCCCACCCGGTCAGAGTCCTGAGGAATACTCCCACCCTGGCTAGGTGCCAGGCCTTGGACTTCTGGGCTTTGGGGTGTGGCTTGGCCGAAGGGAAGCCCTTTGGTCAGGAGAGCCACAGGCTCCTTGCTCTCTGAGCGATCACTCTGTCACCACAATCACATTTCCTACCCAAACCCACCAATAGGATTTCCTTGCCAGGGCAAGCCATCCACAACCTGGAGGGGTCGGCATTGTGGTGTATCTCGGGGGAAGGGGAAAGGGCCCAACCGAGACCCTACCTCCTCCATTCCAGAAGCCACCCATAGCTGCAAGGTCAGGTTTAGCTACCAGGGTTCCAATGTCAGGGGTTTTCTAACGTAACCAGATCAGATCTAGGGGCTCCTGAGATGGAATTCTTCTTAGAACTGAGAGCTTGCATCTAAGTGTACGGCAGGCACCTCCCTTGCAGCTTGGGTCAGGCGGCCTGCACATCTGACCTGTGCTCCATCTCCATTGCCCTGAAAGACGTTCAAGGAATCTGAACTGGATTCTGAACTCAGAAGGCCAGGGAAATCTTTCCAGCTAACTGGAGCAGTCCGAGGTGGGTTCAGCAAGAATGGGAAGAGAGCAGAAAAGCCTAAACTAAACCACTACCACTCATAGTATCTCATAGATTGCCTATCTCACTCAAACTCCCTCTGACTCTGGCTCACTGTGACTCTATAGGGCCAAGAAGAACTGCCCCTATAAGTCTTTTTGGCAGTTGAAAGCTGGTGGGTTGTGAACTGCTGACATTACAGTTAGCAGCCCGAGTGAGTCACAAGCCACTAAGCCACCTGGGCTCCTAACCTGTAGGATTTTCTGGTTCCTTCCCAAGGGCTCACTGCTCAGAAATGCTTTTGCATTTGAGGGAGGAGAGTCTTCTGATACTGTCTACAAATGATGAAGGAAGAGCTCAGTCCGGTGGCACTTCCACCCCACCCCTGCCTCACCTTGTGGCCAGTGCCCTCAGTGCCCCTTCTGCAGCCTGTCAGGCTGACGTCATCATCTGAAGCTCTGTGCCAGATTCCCAAGTTCCTGTCTTGAGAGCTCAGCCCCCACACCCAGGGCCTAGGGGAAAGCCAATGTAGGTCACTGCAGCTGAGCCTGCAGGCTTGTGCTCCCGGAGCCCAGCGCCTTCCAGGCACAAAAAGGAAGCCTTACAGAGAAGCTAGGGAAAGGGCTCTGTGAGAATCACAGGAAAGCAAATGCCTAAAAACAAAAAAACAAAGCAGGGTGAGGCCACTGGTGAACTGGTCAGACTTGAGCACTGGGAAGGGCAGTCACAGGAGCTCTGATATCATGGGGGAGGGAACGCCAAAGAGCAGGGCTGGCACCTGGTTCCCAACCTTGGTTCTCTTCCACCTCCCAGGCCCCACCCTTCCTCTGCTGGCCCACATAAGGGAATCCTTTGGAGCTGGAGTCCCTCCCCCATTCTCTAATCACCTTCAGGCTCAGGTTTTGCTCTCAGGAGCCTTTGTGACTTGCCTTGAGACCCTCTGCTTCTTTGGCCACAATTTCTGGGTCTCGGGGAAGCTAGAATTGGTCGAGGTTGTCCCCACCCTCCCCCATTGAAAGACTTTTTTTTCCCCGGTGGGTGGCTTGTTATCTGTGTTATTTCACTAAGGGTACTTCCAACCTTGTGGGCTCCCATTCCTCTTCCTAGGTCTCCCTGCCCAGGCCTGAGAGAGACCCCGAGGTGTTTTGTGTATGATGCTCATGTGCTTTCCATATGGGGAATCAAGGGCCTAAGGTTGTAACTAGGCTGGGGTCCCACGTGACCAGCAAAAGTAGACAAGGGACCAATTTCTACCTCCCACCTCAAACAATGCAAACCACAAACAATTGTTCTAATCCGAGGGTCAAGACAGGAGGAAAAGTAGGTAGGATGGAAGGACGATAGACCATGAGAATCCTGATCTGTGCCCTCTTCCTTCCCTTCCTTGGGAGAGCTTGGCAGCCCACCCTCCCACCACGCCATGGCCCAGGGCCCATGGTCCAACAGTAGGCACTGGACACATGCTTCCCGTGGCCAGTCACACTGGGCCTGGTGGTGCTCTCCGGCAAAGTCCGAGGCGAAGAAACACCAAGGGGAAAGGTGGACACTGCTCCAACTCCTGACCGAGATTCTCCTGACCTACAGGATGACAGAGCTGGGACAAAGACTTAGAGCTGAACTTCTCAGACTGCAGCTTGGCCCCAGAGGGCTGATTAAAATGCAGATTGTGGCCTGGGCCCTAAGGGTTTCCAATGATTCCCGCCTCCAGGGCTGGGGCTTGAGAACTTGTATTTCTCACAGGGTCCTGGCAGGGGCCCTGACTGCTGACCCCAGCGTCCTGTTTTTCAAAGGACCCAGGTCTTGGTGGAAGAAGCCCCTCCTCCCCAGTGCTCCCTGTGGGGACCTTCTTCCTTCCCACTTGATCTAGTTTGTTAAACGACAAACCTTGTTAGTTGTTGCCCTGTGCTTTGGGTCTTTCCCAGACTCTTAATGACTCCAAGTGACAGAGCTGAATGGTTCCCTACATTTCTAGGCTGTAATCTTCATGAGAATAGATGTTGACGTCTTTCTCCCCAGGAGGGGCTGGGCGGGTTTGAACTGCCAACCTTCTGGCTGACAGCCAAGGGTGCAACCTTTTCACCACGAAGGCACCTTTTATATCGTCTAGGAGGGAGAAGCAGCTTTATCTGGACTCCTGCGCGACTCCTGCTCCGATTCCACCCAAGTGTGTAGCGGGGTCTTCAAGCAGGCTGGGCGTGGGGTGGGGGATCCCAGTAAGAAAGATGGGGGACAAGCATAGGAATCCGTCTCCGACTGGGTATCCGTTTGATCTCTTTAAAGAATCCGTTGACTCCAGCCTTATTGAAAGTCACTTCCCAAAAACATGTTTTGCAGCAAGATCGGAGCACTAGGAATTTCCTGTGGCGAGGCAGCGCCAGCGGCAGGGAGGGAGGGGAAGAGGCAGTGCTGAGCGAGCGCCTTCCCTTCCCCGGGCTCCGGCAGGGCCACGTGCCCCACCCCCTCGCTCGCACATGTCTCCGCCGCCACCGCTGCGGCAGCCGGGCTGTTTATGAGCGAGCTGTTGTGGTGGAAGTGGAGCAGGCTGCACATGCCCGCGCCATGTGACCCGCAGCCCGCGTGAGCCGCGAGCCGGCACACACACACACACACACACACACACACACACACACACACACACGCCTCGGAGAAACGGAGCGGGGGGGGGGCGGGAACAAGATGGGGAAGGAGTGAAAGGGTGCCCTCCCTT